ATTATGTAAACAAAAACTTTTATTTTGGATGCGATTAATCACGATTAATCGTTTGACAGCACTATATATAATCAATAAGTATAAATCAAGCCAAACAAGCTAATCTCTGTAATTTATTAATATATTATATATTTATTTACAGTTTCATTTACAATTCTATTGTATTATATAATATTATGTCTTTTAATATTTTATATTTGTATCTTTTTAATTTTGAGGTTATATATATAAATACATATATATTAGTAGTATGTATATTTTAATCTTTTTTATATTATGTATTTTAATATTTTTTATATAATAGTCTTTTTTAATTTTGAGGTTTGTTGACATTTGTTTTTCATTTTTACCGCTATAACATGACAAATCAGGGTTATAAACTGTATTTTCTGTAAATAGAGCAAATAAAATTTGCTATTTATTTGTCTCGTGAGACTGACAATGTCTGAAGTTTAAGCATCTCAAATTTACTGAGCACTTGTTGAAAATATGATATCCATTTATTTAGTCACAGACCTTTTTTGCGCTCGGAGAGCGACTCTTTTGTGGATGTTACCTGGTGGAGACGGAGTACCGTTCCCGCAGGTGTTTACACGGCACTCCAGCCACTGTGATGTTCTTAATGTCGTCCTTCTGAATGCCCAGGTTCGAGCCCTTAATAGTCACAGCTATTCCTCCTTTCAGAGGCCCGAATCTCGGCGTGATCTGAAACACATTATAAAACCACCCCAATCATCAGAGATGACCAATCTCACTAAAACAACAGTAAAAGATGATTTTTTCTAAATGAGCGAATGTATTCCCAGCAGTAATTCAGCCATGTGAATAGAACATGACCTGAGGTTTCTATTGATTTTTACTCACGTCGGTGATCTGGGGGTCAGGACACTCCTCCGGCTCTCTCGAGGCACACAGCTGCTCATACACACACGAGCTGGTCTGCGTGCACCACACACACTGGTATTTGGGGTCGGCGTTCTTACACAGGCTGCAGTCTTCACGTCCCAGAGAGCAGTTATACAGAGTGACTGAAACACAAACCCAGAGTCAGACCACCAGATGAACTTACTTAGGACTTAAAAAAAAAAATAGTTTAAAAGGTATAATTTAATCCCAAAACAAACATTTCTGGGTTATATCTAAACCGGTAGGAACTGTTTTGCATAAATAATACAATAAGTAAATAATGTAATGAAAAATAATATAAATAAAATAAATAAGGCATTAAATGTTTTTACATAAATAATATAAATGAAAACAGAGCATTTTATTTAACATAAATAAAATAAAATCTTGGCTTTGGGCGAAAAACTGAATTTAACTTGTAATATGAGGAGTAGTGAAGCACAATTGGTAAATGAATCATTTTTGAGTCAAATCTTTTGAATGAATCAATAGATCTAATTGACAAAACCAGTCTAAATTTTCTGGCATTGTTTACTCATGTACAAATAATATCAATAAATAATTCAGCTCATGCACTACAGTCACGTCTTCTAACGTCATTCTTTTGAGTGAGAAACAACTGAATTTGAGATGCGTAAGTTTTTAAGCTTTTTTTTTTTTATTTGAATCAAATGGATCAGAGTGCTGTTTGATTGTTGCATGCAAAATTTGCATTTAGTGTTAATTTTGACAGGCATTTTTGATTTAGTCTTAGTCTTTATCTTGAGA